GTATGTTACTGTAAACATGATCCAGAGTGTTCTAGACCTGAGTGGGAATGTTCACGTTGGTAATATTTGGGAAGTACAGTCCGTAAATTGCACTGGTTAAAGTCGCCTGCAGCGATAAATACAGCATTGGGGTGCACTGTCTCTAGCGCGTTGATGACATCATAGAGTTTGCTGAGAGCCGCAGAGGGATTAGCTCTTGGGCTAACATACACAGCAGCCAGAAACATGGCACTGTGCTCTCTGGCTAGATAGTAGGGCCGGCATTTCAGCAATAAAAACTCTACGACTGGCAAACAGTGCTTATAAACAGTCCATACATCTCCACACCATGAGTTACTGATAAACACACACACACCACCTCCTTTTACCTTCCCTGAAACAGCAGTGCGATCGCTTCGATGTACAGAATGTGTTTGTAGCTGAATCGCGGAGTCTGGAACTCTGTCAGAAAGCCAAGTCTTGGTGAGAACTAGAGCACAGCATTCTCTTGATTTCCAGTTGTGCTGTAATCCTAGCCCTTAGCTCGTCCAGTTTGTTTTCCAGAGACTGTACGTTGTCTCAAGTGTTCTGAGTATATCTCACCTATGTGATCAGGCACCAAAACTGGGGACTTCAATGTTGTAACTTAAAACAGATGTCAACATTTTTGTTTCCACATCTATCTATGATAATGCCATTGCTTCCATTTCAAGTCTTTTCCACAGAACCATGGTTACCATATTGTGTCTGTATGTACAAAAGTCAGATGCTACCAGCTGAAAGGGCTGAAGACAGTAAAGAACATAGTTGTTAAGGGTTAGAAATGACACTTGGTTTTGAATGTAACATGCCTGTACTGATATTGTATCAGGCAGATGCTCTTTTCAGTAAGCTCATATATCCCAGGGGTCTTACCATCTAAGATGTCCCTGTGCTCTTCTCTTCCCACAGGACACCTCGACTTCACTGGGGTTAGATATACAGTATAATATCCCCCCAGTGCAGCTTGAGCCTAACTTTATTTTCAGAGGGGAAATGAAAATCACATATATTTGGATTATGCTGGAGGGCCAAACAAATAAAACAATAACCTTCAAGATCCAGTGCCAAATCGGTTTGTCTTGCATGAAAAACAGAGTGAGGAAAAACAATGGCCTAAACAAGAAGGCATTTTGTTTATGTTCAGACCTGCAGCTCTCTAGTCTTCACAGAGCTCTCTCTCTGTCTGGGCTTTCATCTTTTAATTTCATGTGGTTTTCAAATTAGTCCTTGCCATCTGTTGCAGAGTTGTCCAGGTACTGATAAAAATCAGGTTGAAGACTAAGAGTGTTACAGAAATGAAAAACCAGTCCTGCTAAATATTTGAACAAGAGTTGTTTTTCTTTTTAAAGACAGATTAATAAGTGTTTCAGTCCTGGCACGATTATATGTATACTGATTTCTCACTGGCTACTGCTGGCCCCGATTTATCCTTGTGGTCCTTCTTTGCGAGTACGCACAGAAAACCATTACACATACAAAGAAATAGATGCACATACAGAACACATTTTGTCCCAGTTCTGGCTCCTATCAGGCTGAGAGGAGTCCTCATCATATCTTATCTGAAGACAAAGAAAGAGAGAGCCAGGGAGAAGAATGGAGGAGACAGAGGGACAAAGAGAGTGACTGAGAGGAGCAAAAGACTGGAGATAGATGAGGACACGATGAGAAGGAAAGGGGAGCATGGTAAGGCAGCACAAATACTGGAGTCAAGAGTGCAACAGACAAAGAGGAAGCAAAGGATGGGGGATGAGGCAGGGGATGTGGGGGAGAGGCGAGTCAAAGCCCCCAAGCTCCTCTAATTTCTCCTCAAAAAAAAAAACACAGTGCTCAAAAGATGGATAACGTGTGCCCTCTCTGCCAAGACAATGACATCATCATCAAATGAGCAAGGACACAAGGCGAGAGCATCAGACTCACGCTCAGATCTTTTATTCATTATTATTTAGTCACTTATTCATCATTTTCCTCGTGCTCAAACTATCGCTTTGCACTGGCATTTATCATGAAGTCTTTATTCTCAGAAGTCTTCTTAAAGCAAAACAGTGCTCTGGTTGTTTCTTCTCCTGGGCCACTAATTTGACCATGGCTGTACTCTTCCCGAATTTGTTAAATGGTGTGATGACAATTGACTTAAATGTGGCTAAAACAAACAAACTTATTACAGATTTCAGAAACAAAGGTCACCAGTGAATCCATTTGCTTAGGAAGTTGAACTCATTTGGGGTATGCAAGGTAATTTTATGTACATTTTTAATCATACTCTTATTGTGAGTCTTAAACATTTTCATTTGTGTGCTGATACAAGGGCCGGCCTGTGAAATATTGTTATGGTCTGCTCCAAGATTACTGAAGTTCAACAAAAAAAACCTGTGTTCACTTTGGAGGAGGCAAGTGGTCAAGAAAGCAGAGAGGATATTAAGTCAGCCTGACCACAGCTTGATCAAGGAATTTGTAATTATGCCTTCAGGTCAGTGCTATTATGCACCAGCCCGGAAAACAAATAGATATGCAAATTTCTTTATTCCCTCTGCAATCAGGCTACTGAATGCTGACGTAAGCCAACGTGCAGCCTCCCCCACTGCATCAGGGAAGTGCCTCCTTCTTCTTACTAGCTGCTAATCTGTGCTGTTGTCACTGCTTGTTGTTGTTGTTTGATGATTATGTTGATTATGTTATTTCTCTCATTTCTCTTAGTAAGTAGTCTGCATAAATAAATTACCCTATTGGGATTAATAACATATTCTGACACTGAATCTACATAGTCAGATGTTACTTTGCACTGAACATGAATATTCTTCATACACTAATTAAAATCTCCCCAAAATAAAGTATGTACTGTTACCTACATATACAGCAGAAAGTAGACACTTTGGTGCATAGCACAGAAGAGAATAATCACAGGTTTAGGCTACAGGAGGCTACAATTATAGAACAGGAGAGAGGGCTTTTATTTCCTTCATACTAGACATGTGTTGTGCAGAGTTGATATCCTGTTCTCGCAGGCAGCAGCATCACTGTTGGCGCTCCTTATCTGCAAGTCTCTTTGCTTTATTCTGGAGGTACCGTGCTTTGCCCTCCTCAAAACGTCTCTGCTCTTCCTCTCCTTGAATCTAAGACAAAAAAGGCAAAAAGACAAAAGATTTGTTTTCAGACACATCCATGCACTGGAATGTTTCCATGCTGTTGTTATATTAACTGTGGGCACGAAGCTCTGATCTAATTTATTTGATTTGATTTATTTGATTTATTTATTCTTTCAAGCATGTAAAGACAGTTGATATGTCAACACACATAATTTTACACATATCCAACAAATGCTAATCCAATATCAATTTGCTTATATCTAGAACATGCTTGAATGGAGTAGGAAGAAGTCAGACTTATCCAGTCCTACCCCATGACATCATCTTACCATCATTGGTTTGCAAGCAGTAAATAATTCTCTTCTACACCACACAAGTATTATACTAAAAAATTGTAACAGTGTTAACATTCTTACATAATTACATTCTTAAATAATTATCGTCTGCACCACATAAGTAATATACTAAAGAATTATTACAAAGTGTTAACATTCATACACCACACCCACAATGTTCCATCTAATTAATCATTAAGCCTGTTCTTGCATATATCTTGATTGACACATACCTTTATATTTATGTTTAAACTCATCAATTCTATTACTATTTTTTATGTCCACATTTAAATTATTCCATAGTTTTACCCCACTTATGGAAATACAAAATCTTTTTTTGGTTGTACGTATAGCATGAATTTTTAAATTTAACTGACCCCTTAAATTGTATCCCCCTTCCCTTTCATTAAATAGTTTTTGAATTCCACCAGGTAATAAATTGTTCCTGGCTTTATACAAAAACACAGCAGTCTTATATCCCACTAAATCAAAAAATTTTAACAATTTAGACTGTATGAAAGCTACATTGGTGTGATCCCTGTACCCCATCTTATGCACAATTCTTATCGCTCTTTTTTGTAATATATACAATGGTTGAAGTGAGCTTTTGTATGTATTTCCCCAGTTTTCAACGCCATACTCTAAGTATGGTAAGATCGATGAAGAATACAAAATGCGTAGTGCTTTCCCGTCCAAAATTAATGGTAAATAGTGGAAATGGTAAATGGTGGAAGTAATGGTAAATAGACTGCACTTGTATAGCACTTTTCTACCTTACCTGGACAAAGAGCTTTACAAATTCACCCACTCACACACACACACTGATGGGGGGGAGCTGCCATGCAAGACGCTGGCCTGGCCACCGGGAGCAACTTGGGGTTCAGTGTCTTGCCCAAGGACACTTTGTTGTGTGAACTGGGGAGAATGGGAATTGAACCCCTGACCCTGCAAACAGATGTCATCTCGCTCTTCCCCTGAGAACTAATGATTCCTTGGTTGATCTCATGTGAATATCATTTTGAGGACTGTTGGACTTTCTAATAGGTCAGTCTAATCAGACCAGCCTTGACTGGTCTACTTCTATAAAATACATCTCATGCAGTTTTAGCATACCATATAAAAATATATCTGTATTACAATTACAGTCATAATCTGGAACTCTGGGAATCCCCCAGGATTTATAGCTGAATCACTTTTACACAACTGTTTTTATTCTGAGCAGCACTTCCAAGCCTGTGAAGAACAAAGCTTGTCTATCTCCTTCACTTAGCTCCATTTGGCTGGTGATCTGTGGGAGGATGCACTTCCTTGCCTGCACAGTTTAATTAGACTGCTGGGCATCCTTGTGACTTAAACAACAATAACACAACACCAGTGACAGTGTCAACACTTACTTTTATGGTCCCTTCTCACTGTTCTCAGGGAGCAGCGTACTGTGTTGCATGTGGGCACCTACACATATATGTGTTTGTGATATATATTGTAAAAGAGAATACTGGTGTTAATGACATGTTCAGATGGAGGCTCTTTGCTGTGCACACACCAGGTGGTTGGCAGATTCAAGAGCATTCTGGGTGCAAAGCTGACAGATGGTGCCTTAACTTTATGAAGAGTGCAGGGTGGAAACAGATATGACACAACATCATGGCAGGAAGAAGGCCACCGGTCACCAGAATATTACAATGGTGATGCTAAGCTACAAACACAATATCTTCTGTGCGGAACAGGAACAGCAGTATACAGCTGTAGTACTGCTGTGTGTTGTATGATGGTTATATAACAGTCAACACATTGTTCAGTCCATTTCAGTTTGCCATTCAACTGAAAGTAATGGATAATTCCAGCTCATTGACTTTTAAAGCAAAAAAAAAAAGAGGCACAGTTTCAGTATTTTCAAGCATTCATATAAGCAATAAGCTGCTTTAAAATATATATTTGTCAAAAGGTTCATTTCCTCATTCATATATTGTACTATGAGAAATATAACAAAAATAGCCCTTATTATTATTATTTTTATGACTTTGTTTTAATGATACCTTTTAAGATGGTTGACTCTGGTTAATCCACTGTCTTTATCAATATCTACAATATAAGAATAACACAGGAAGACTGGATTATTGCAAATGGCAAAATGCACAGGGAGCTGGTCATTATAATGTTATGAAAATAAGAATAAACATGGTGATTTGGGACCCTAACACCAAACAGGGGGTTATTAATCATCCTACATTAATACAGCTATTGCATGCTCCAAAGACAGCCATCATTTAATTAACACAAAATGCTAGTTTCAAATATTTTATTACAAGGCTAAAAATAGTTCAGATGCAGCCATGGCACCGCAGCAGATAACAAAACTTCAGCTAGAGAGAGCAGCTTTGAGCAGTAGGATCAGTGAAAAGTAATAATGTTAAAATTATTACTGGTCTGTTGTCTTTCTCTGCAGCCACCAAAGGCAAACAGCTATTTGGTACAAATGTCACTGGGTAATAAAAGAGGTCAACAAAATGTTGTACTGACAGCTGCTGGAGTAGCTGTAGGTTGGAGTGTGTGTGTATGTGTGTGTGTGGGTGTGTGTGTGTGTGTGTGTGTGTAAACAATTTTTTCTGGGGGTCAAAGCAGCAGAATAAGCTGCCTTCCTTTTCGCTGCCTACACATATCATCTTTGGTCTCTGACACAAAAAAAATTCAAGAATGCAAATCAATGCACCAAGGGTGTGCACACAAAAATGTAAACTGGAAGTCTATGGTATACATATTACTGATGTCTTTCTGTGGTTTATATCTATTATTTGCTTGCTTGTTTCTGTCTTTCACCTCCATATTCCTCTCTCACTCCTTTCTTCCCTCTCTCTGACTCAAGCCCACAAAGACTCGGCTGTTATTTAGTTAGTTTTTAAAATGATAATGATCTTCAGTCTGAATACCACTAATGAAGGATGACATTTAATAACAATATGAGATATGGCTCTAAAGTTTCTGTCCAAGTAAAAGGAAACGGATGATTCTGGCAGGAGAAAATCTGAAGGTGACTTTCTGAGTGATGCAGAGGTTCATGTAGGCACTGATATACTGGATTTGCTGGTCTGTTAAAAGTGAAACTTAACTGATGTGTGATTTCTCCTTGGCTTTTGGTGTGGTTTCTCTTGATTAGCTCAAAAATGTATTTCCACTCCTAGTCAACAGGTTTCCCTGAAGAAATTTCCAGGTGACAACTAACAAAAGCTTTCTTTTAATCCAATAACTGTCCGTCAGGTTACCAGCAGAAAACAGCATTATCCAGTCTTGCATAGTGGAGGGAAGTGGTGACGCTATGTCCATCGTATACACTGTATGACAGCTAAAGCTGATTATATTTGCACAAGTCAATGAGGCAATTCAATGCTAGGCCCAAAATGTCTTTTGGTGGTTCGATATAATTGGTATTCACACTGTGGCTCCATTTTAATAACTATGATTGTGCAAGATCATCAGCTGCTACTGTTAACTGACTTTCTGATGCACACTGGTTTTATAGTGTTGTATGTTTCTGTACAGTATACTATATATAGTATATTTCTGCTCCCATTACATTCAGGTAACAAGAAAATTCTGCACTCCCCCTTAACATGTAAAATGGCATTAATTCAAGACAACAGTACAATGTTATGGCCTTATGCCATACCTCAGGCATAGTGTGCAAAGACTGGCTCGACTGCATCTGTTCATATGGAAATTTGCTCAGTTACTCAAATATTCCATCTGGTCATATTGTACATTAATATATTGTTTTGCAATAGTCTGTAATGATCCAAAAGAAAAACGTTAAGGGATCACATAACTGTCTGTGCCAAATGTCATGTCAATCCATCCAATAGACATTTCACTCAAAATCAAATTTGTGAAAAGTCAGGTGATCATCAAAGTCATTAGGATACATCATCTGGGAACCACGAATGTCTGCACAAAATGTCACGGCAATGCGTCTTCAATACACTGCACTGAGCAAATTGATTATCAATCTGAATGTCTTTCACTGGCAACCACGACAAAGTCAAACCTCAGAGCTTTGGCGCATCAAACAACCAAGAAAAACAGCAGTTTTGGTAGGTATGCTGGTGGGCAGTTGAACACTAAATGGTGCAAACCTGATACAGGGACAGGGACTGTAAAAGGGACTTACTCAGACAATGCCAGGAAAATGCCAGGGTGGTTACTTAATGTTGGGACGGACTGTAAATAGATTGTGCCAGGGCATCACTGATACTGCCAAATGCCAATGTGTCAAAAAAAAAAGCACGAGTCTAGACACTAAACCTATATGTTTGTGTGACAAAGAGACACACAAACTGAGGAAGAGAAAGATACACCCATAAACAAGCGATGACATTTTAGACAATGCTGAAAGCTGTTTCATTTATAGACATACAGTAAATCACTGGCTTTCCTTGAATGCTAAAAGGACCTCTGTCCTTGAATCCACCTCTTCAGTCATTATTAATATTTCATACTGTCAATGTGTTTTGTCTGAATTTCAGCCTATAAACCAATCATCTCAAAAGCCTCAATAATCATAGTTCATAGCAGCATTACAAAAAGTGCTAACATGACAAGTTAGTAGTAGCAGTTTTATTTAATGGTTACTTCAAACTAAAACACTTGAATATACTTGTACTGTGAACAATATGTTGTTTGATGGTGTCTGTGTATTGT